TTAGGTTTACGTTTTTACGTTGATTTTTTTGTTGCGCTGTTTTTATTACATTTTTTAATTATGTTTAAGCATTGCAAGTATCAGATATGGAAGTGAACCACGCTCAATAATTTTGCTTGCATTTGTTAAAAATCTTTAACTTGATTTACAAAACAGTTATTTATAATTTTGTAGGTCTTTTTCTTTTTTAACGATGTAGTAAATTTGCGTAAATATCGCGTAATTTTGAAAACAAACTATTTGTTATCAAAGTTAGTGATAAAAGTATTAATATATTGAAACAGTTTGCATCTCGAGAAGAAGTGGTTTAACATCATTGAAACAGTTTGTATCACGCGAAGAAGTGGTTTTACGAGAAATAAAACAGTTTGTACCATGCGAAGAAGCGGACGAAAGGTTTACTTTAGTTAAAATAGTCAACACAAACAAATCGTAAGTTTCCTGAAATGTTTTTTATACAATTTATTTTACAGACGTGAGGCAGACGTAGTTTTGTTGAATTTCTTTCTAGAAACATATATACACATAGATACTTTTTGGAAAGAAGAAAAGCTAATCTTGATTTTTTAAAGACTTTTAAGTATGGTTCCTAACTTTTTTATGGGATATTTTGCTCCTGAATATTAGGTTGATGTTCTCATATGAATTTGTGGTCGAAGAAATGTAGAGTCAGCTTTTTTATTATTTAAATAGTTTGTTTTATGCATTTTTTATGCACATGCCAAATTTCAATGAAAAAATTAATAAGCAATTAATTCAATTATTGTTTTACCAAGTATACCACTTTTTTAGGTAGCCCTAAGCAAACGGTTTTTGTGGTAGTTCTTTTTGGAAACATGTATAAACCTTGACATCTTTTAAAAATAGGAAAGGTTAGGCTTGATTTTTATATTAATATTGTGTATTGCTACCGTACTTTTTATAGATTATTTTGCTGAGAGTTTTGCATGAAAATTTGGTTGATGTTGTCACATGGATTTGTAGTTGAAGAAATGTAGAGTTCTTATTAAAATAGTTTGCTTCATGCATTTTCTATAAACTTGCAAAATTTCAACGAAAAATAATTATAAGCAATTAGTCTAAATAGTGCTGGACTTTAGGTACCAAATTTCGGTTTTTCTGTTTGTTATGATTTCGCTTACCAAAAAATATTTGCCACAATTACAATATTGCAAAAAAATATTATCTTGGCTATATGAATATATTTTTAATTCCATTTTTTAATAGTATTTAATATATATATATATATATATATATATATATATATATATATATATATATATATATATATATATATATATATATATATATATATATATATATATGCAACATTTTTTATCTTATTTTTCTGGAGTCACTACTTTTTCCGCAACAGTTTAATAAGGTAATTTTTATGTTGATTTTGTAATTACTCATACTAAATTTCACTTTAGATTAAATAAGTTATTATTTAGATTTAATGAATCTTAGTAAAGAGTAGTTGAAATCTTATGACTAAGGTGTTTCAAATTGTGATAATACTTTATGGGTATGATAGAAAATATGTTTTTGAAAGATTTTGCATTAATTTTTTTTTTCCAGACTAATATATTAACTCGCTTTTTAGAGTAAGTAAGATATATTCTGATTAAGAACAATGCTTCATTAAACAATGAAGATGCATTAAGATGACAAATGTCCTGTGATGCAGTAAGACCCTAGTTGTAACTGATAACATAAAATCTACTGTATAACTCGCGAACTATATACCGACATACTTCGAAAGTTGGTGAAATATTTGCTGTTAACTATTTTTTATATTTTTATTATTTAATAATTATTTAAATTGTATAAAAAATATTTAAGATAATAAAAACAAATAACTATTTCGTCGTTTTATTGTGTGTTTTTTGATAATTTTCCATTCTATTTTATAATCGCTATGAATAATAGTCGCTTTTGTAATCTCATTTATTGATCAAAATTAAAGCGGGCTAATGTGCTTTTACTGATCTCGGCCCGACGTCATTTTACTGATCTCGGCCCAACGTTGTTTTACTGATCTCGCCCCGATGTCATTTTACTGATATCTGCCCGATGTCATTTTACTGATATCGGCCCAACGTCGTTTTACTGATATCGGCCCGACGACATCGGGCCTACATCATTCTGATGAGCAAAACCTACGTTGGCCCAACGTAGTTAAACTACCATCGGCCGCTGTAAAAGCCTCGTTGTGCCGACGTCGGACCAACGTGTATATGTTATCTGGGTTTACAACAATCAGTAAGGTTTCAAAAAAAATAACTTTACAGAACACGTAGTACTTCAACTCACAAGAATCATTACTGACTCCTTTGAAAAATCACAATTTACTTTAGGTATTTTTATAGACCTATCTAAAGCTTTTGATACTATTGATCACGGCATTCTATTAAATAAATTAGAACATTACGGTATCACTGGTAAAGTCTTAATGTTATTAAAAAGTTACTTAAATAATCGTGCATATTGATGCACACTCAAAAACTACTGCCTTAGATATATCCTGTGGAGTCCCCCAGGGTTCCATACTTGGACCACTGTTATTTCTAATTTATATTAATGACCTCTATAAAACTTCTTATTGAAAAAATTAAGTGGATTCTTTTTCATTCAGCTTATAAAAAGCATATACTACCAAGTGAAATGCCGCCGCTTTTCATTGATAATATTAATATAAAAAGAGTAACTTATACTAAATTTTTAGGTATTATTGTGGATGAAAATTTTTCATTGAAAAACCACATTGGAAATCTAAATAATAAAATTGCAAAAAGTATTGGGGTTCTATATAAAACAAGAAGCATTTTAAATAAACATACTTTAATTAAACTATATTACTCATTAATTCACTGCCATGTTAACTATGCTGATATTGCCTGGGGTAGTACCAACAAAATTAAGTTAAAGCCTTTGCTTTGTCAACAGAAGCATGTAGCACGTTTTATTAATTTTAAAGATCGTTTCACTCATGCCAGATCTTTATTATTAAACATGAGTATTCTTAATATTTACGAAGCAAGTATATTCGTTCTTTGTTTTATGTTTAAATGCAAAATTAATGCTTGTCCTGTTTCTTTTCATAAGTTATATTCAATGAAAGAAAAAAATATATATATATTAAGAAATAATAAACATATCCAACATCCAATTTTTCAATCAAATATAGGCAAATCTTGCATTCAATACCGTGGAGCCTTTTTATGGAACAAAATAGTTTTAAAACATTTTGATTTTTTGCATAATTGGAATTATTTTTCTTTTAAAAGAAAACTAAAAGAAGTAATTTTTTCAATTGATAACATATAAAATCAATTGATAACAAAATAATTAAGAAGTTGTAATCTGAACGACAATATTTTTTAGATTACATATTATATATTGACATTACATATATACTGATGAAAACTGATGTAATTTTTTGAGCTTTTGTTTGCTTTTTTTGTTTGTTTGTTTGTTTTTACATAATATTAAATATTGAGAAATATTATATATATATATTCACATATATTATAAAATACTGTTAAAACTTGCTTAACATCTAAAGAGTATTATAATATATAAACGCATTTAAAAATTGTTTTAAATATTTGTAAATTTATTTATGTATTTTAACTCTTAATATAGATTGTAAAGGGCTTCATGATAAGATCGTGTGATCTTCTGGAAGTCCTACCAGTAATATACTCAATGTAAATTTACCTTGTACATATTATTCTGGAAAAAAGTATGACAAGAAAAAAAAAAAAAAAAAAAAGAGGTAATTTTAATATGACTAAAACGTTAGGCTTGACGCAAATTGCTACCATTTTTTTAATATGATTAAGCATTCCATAATTTATTATATTTAATTACATCGTATTATTTTATAGGAAAGACAAACTTTGAAAATGCAGGATGACAATAACAATGATTTTGAATACTTTGACGACACTGATGACATTAAAAACATATTTGAAAATTTATTTGATTAATTTTTTACTCATAAGTTAACCATATTGTTTTAAATAAATTTTATTTTAGATTTCATCTCGTAACATGATTTTGTTATCAAAAGTTCATACTAAATAAATAATAAAAACATTAATTACTGAAGAATCTTATTACTTTTTGTGTTTTTTATAATTTGTTTCATAGACATAATAAATTATATTTTCTAAACAAATTGTTTTTAATCCATAGTTTTTATACGAATATGAATCAGCATTAAATTATCTTTCCAACGATATATGAAAAAAACCATTTTTGAAAAAAAAAAAATTTATCATAAAAATTATTACCCTTTTTTAATTAGGCCCATAAGAGCACCTTCTGGTGCTGCAAATGACGGGGCTTTTTTTGGTGACATATCATATACTTATGTTGACTTGTACAAAATTTTAACTTTATTGCATTTTATTCCTGTTTGTATCGAAAGTCTACCGGACTATTTTTAGTTTTCATACCCTTACAATGAATCTTTTTTATTATTTTTAAAAGTAAGATTTTTACAGTTATCAAAGAAAATTTATTTAATGTGTTTGATAACACAATAACTTGCGCAAACATTTCAACGTAATATTTTTGCGTTTTGACGCACATGCATAAAACTCAAACAATAATTAGAAGTAACGGTTATAGTTACTATGAATTTCTTGTTTTTCAGTGTTACCAACAAATACCGAAAGAAGAAGAATAATTTATTTTTTTTTTTCAAAGTTTATGTAAAAATATATTGATAAAAGGTGGACTTATTCACAATGGCTTCTGAAATTATTATACAATATATTCAGAAGCTATTAAAAAAATGTCTAACCTAGAAAAAAGTAACCAATCAAATCCTTTAATAACTAAGAAAATTATTATTTCATCAAAATTTCCAAAAGTTAAAAAATATCAAAAAATGGACTTAAATGCATTTGCTTCTGACTGGTTCATATATTTAATTAATTCACAGGGTTCGCAAATTTTTGACACAATTATGAATAAAAACAACAATGGAACTACATTTCCACATTTTAAACAACAATAAAAATCAACTTAACAACAATTGTAAACAACAATTGTAAAAATTATTTTAACATTTTTAGATTACACTTAAATACACTTATAAATTTTATATTTTAAATACGAAAACTGATTTTTTTTTGACACACAAGTTTTGAAAATAAAATTTTATTTAAACTTAATAGACATGATTTTTCACAAAAAGACTTTCGCCAGCAGTCTCTTTGCTATCTTCTCCGTCGTATTTTCCAAGAGCGGCCGCAGAGTTTAAACGAGCTCTTTCTAATAGCACTTTTTGTGCAGCCGCCAAATTTTCAGACTTTCCACCCCATACCTTCAAAACACTAGCTTGTAAAGCACGACCAAATGAGAATGTTAATGCCCAGGGTTTCAGCACTAAAAGTAATTTGAATTATATAATTGTAAAACTGTAAATATGTGTGTGTGTGTGTGCACATAATAAAATAATAAATTTTTTTCGAAAGACCCAAATAAGTTACACAAATTTGACAATTGTTTAACTTACACAAATAATTTTATACTAAGCTAATAAAGTAAATTTGAGGCAAATTGAAAACGCAATTATGCCAATATCTTGGGTTGAATTGACAATTTCAATTATGGTACCGATTTTCAAAAAATACGAATTTACAAGTAAGCAATTTGACAATATTTTAACCACTCTTAAATGTTTTTTAATGTATTTAAATGTTGAATAATAAAAACACATAGAGAAAGATTCTTTAAGAAGTTTGTTATTTAGTTTTTCAATTCATACTTAATACCTTGACATTTTAAGCAGTAACTTAAAGCGAGACACAGTATCAAAGGATTTTTATATACAAAAAATACACAAAGAAATTTTCAATCAAATATTAACAATTTCAAAAATGAAGTAAGATTTTTAAACTTCACTTAGTTCAAAATTCTAAACAAATACAATATTAAAGAGTAGGGTGACCATATTTAAAAAAAACAAAACTGGGGCACAAAAATAAGAATAGAAGGATTTCAGGTAAAGAATGTCAAATTAATTGATCTGTAATATCCAAGGGCCCAAAACAGGACTCAACAGGCCCCCAAATATTTTTTTTTAAACTTTATATCGAGATAAAAGTGAAATAAAAGTGGAGACAACTTTTTTCAAAATACAGCAGAAATTAAAAAATGTTTTATTTGTTGACTGTAGTGGGGTTTAATAACATTGGACACAGTATATAGCCTTGGAATATGGAAGAATCCAGTCGGGGCTAAGGAAAAAAACATATTTTATATATAGCATATAATGATAACAGATTGTTTTGGCACACATGAATCATATTTATTTAAACTTTTTATAGTTTTATTTGTAGACAAATATTTTTTTTTTTAAACTCTTGATTTTAACAGAAACTTTGTGTCATTCTGATCAAAACAATAATTAATGCGTTGAAAATTAAAAATTGTAAAATTTTTAAACAATATACAAAAATATAACTTCAAAACTTAAACAATTAACTGTCCCGATTGACTTTTTCAGAACATTTGGGACAGCTCACCTAAAATCGTGATAATTTCAGAAAACCAGAATGTTTGGTCAATAAAATATTTAGGAAAAAAAAAAACTTTAACAAATTTGAAATAAATAAAAAATAAATTTTAAAAATAATCAAATATTTTCTTACATTGAACAGCATTAATAGCATTTAGATGAAGAGTAGCTTCACATTCTGATTGACCGCCAGACAAAAATGTGATTCCAGGTACAGCAGCTGGAACAGTTCGCCTGAGTGTTGTCACAGTGGCTAATCCAACCTCTTCAGCTGAAACTTTGTTCTCACATAATACACCTGATAAAAATAAGTTTAAAGAAAGTAAATTTACTATATTTCCATACTTTAACTTCATTTTTCAGTCTACATAATAAGTAACCTTCAAATGAACTTTAAAAAAAAAATTGATGAGTTTAATTTTTTATATAAACTAAACTATTCAAACCATGTTTTATATATACCAAATCCTATTTCAATTTTAAAGGCAATTAAAGGGTTGGGAAAGGCTTGTTGTTACAACAACAACAAAAATAATGATAAAATTTTTCTAAAAGATGTTTATGGAGAAGACATCTTTTAAGCTTAAATTAAGCTGATAATTTAAAGAACTCGCTGAAGCTTATGAAAAGGAAATTAAAATGTAATTATTGAAAAAAAAATCTAAAATGATTTATGAAAATACCATATTCAAAACTAAAGTCTTGAATGTCTAATGACATAATATTTATAGCTTCATATGAAAAAAAACTGTGTTGTTACCCATGACAACACAGTTTATATTCCAAGATGTTGCTAACTAAAAAAAATCCTAGCAGAAAAAGTGAGGGTAAAAAAATAAAAAATAAGAAAAAAAATTTCCTTCATTACTAAAAAATTAAATGCATTTTTCTTTCTTTTCAGAATAGATATAATTCAGAATATCAAAGAGATTCCTATTTGATGCAATTATTTGCAGTGTAAACACAAAAAGTGATGGCAAAAAAAAAAGACATAACTTAACATTGAAATTCTCAATGCATCGTCAAAAAAAAAAAAAAAAAAAAAAAAAAGTACATATTAAAAGTACAAATGTTAACAATCATTGCTATTATTTTTTCATGTTATTCACCTTCCTATAGCTAAGAGGTCATTTCAGTAAAAGAGGGTACTTTTTTCTTTGCATTCATTTTTTTAACTATGGTTACAAACCTCTTAACTCTTAACTAGTTACAATTAAACAATAATTTCAATTTTCAATTATAATTATCTCTAAGTTGATTTCATTTAACTATTATTGAATTTAATCTTGAATGCAATTGTAATTTAGTAGTTAGTTTTACATCAAAAACAAATTTTTGTAATTTTGAAAAGCAGTTAAACAATACTTGTCATAAACTAATTTATTGTAGAGAGACTAACTTAAAAAAATTTGATCATTATAGAGAATATATCAGAGAAGAATTAACTTGGAGATCTGGGAATAACAGATGATGAAATTTTAACAATCTGCATTCAACATAAAAGATTTTTGGTTTAAACTTAAAAAAAACACATAAAAATACACACACTAAATGTTATAATTAACGGATATGCATAAACCAAAGAGAAAAGCAATCAAAGGTAATTTTAATTATTTTTTGTAAAACCTATTTTTAACAAAATCAAAATATACGAGTTTATAAAAGTTACAAAATAAGCTGATTCAGTTGAGCATTAGGATATTTAAATAAGAACAAATTTTTTTTAATATTTATAGGTAATCACTAATAACAAATCCAAAACTTTTTATTTCAGGTGTTCACATAATAACACAATATGGCGGAGCTGCTTCGATACTATAATTGGTAAATTCAGTGAAAAATACTTGTATATTTGAGGAACCTTTAATTGAACAAGACTTCTAAAGTGCAATTTCTGAAAAAAACCAAGTGTATTAAGCTTGGTCAGGAAGACATGCGATTACATACTATTATATGAACACGCAAATAATATTTTGATTTAAGGATTTAAATGCGGCCATTATTATTTCAAAAATGCACTGAATTTTTTTAAAACTATATATATATATATATATATATATATATATATATATATATATATATATATATATATACATATATATATATATATATATATATATATATATATATATATATATATATACTCATTATAATATTTAAATAAATTTCAATAATGATGACAATAAAAACTGGGTAGCATAATTAAAAAAAAAGATTTTCTAAACGATTAATTTTTCAATAAAAACCAATTAAAAAACGTTTTTAAAAAGATGGCTATATTAGCGTTTTTAGTGTAATTTTTTAATATCAAATATTAAATTAGAGTACTTTCCTCAAATTTTCAAATCAATATTTTTATACGAATCTTAATCAGCACGAAATTCTCTATCTTTTTAAATGTTAAAACAGAGTTTTCTATTGGAGTTTAAAGCCTGTGGTACCTAAAAAAAATTTTGAAAAAAAAAAAGCAAAAAATTTTAGAATGAAAAAATACCTGGAGTCACCATGTTGGGCTTTAGTAAACTTCCCTCTAAATAACAGTGATGATCTACCAAAGTTTTATACACACAAGCCAATACACGTTCAGTAACACGGGATGCAACTTCAAGATTATGACTCCCATCAATCAAAATTTCTGGTTCTACAATTGGTACAAGTCCATTTGATTGACATATAACAGCATAGCGTGCTAGAACCTGAGCATTCTCCTGTATTGCAATATCAGTGGGTAAACCTAACTGTTTATCAATTTTAATAACACAACGAAACTTAGCAAAAGAGCATCCCTCTTTTTTATATTGCTGAACCCGCTCTGCTAAACCATCAATACCTTGAGTAGTAGTTTCATTTTGAGTTCCTATAATAAATTTAATTATCTATACTATATAAAGATATACAATATATAAAGATATATGAATAAAATCAGCAAATATAAAATTTTTTTGCATTGTGCATTATTATAAAAAAAATTATTTATTTATTTTATTTAAAACTTATACCTATTCCATCTTAAATTTACTACATACCACTATAAATTTTTTAAATATTATTGTAAAAACCTACCAGGGAGAGGAACTAGCCCTTTGTCAACTTTGATTCCAATATTTATGCCTAGTTTTTTTAAAGGATCAACTACAAGGGTACCATCGTCGTTTTTTTGATATAAAGTTTCGTGGTAGAGAATCACACCACCTAGATAATTAGCAATGCTTTCATCTGCAGTAAATAAAAGATTTCGATATGCTCTTCGATTTGCTTCTGTGTTTTCAACTTTAATGCTAGTTAATCTTTTACCAATTGTATCAGTACTCTCATCAGCAGCCAATATCCCTTTGCCGGGTGCTACAATTGATTCAGCAATTCTTTTTAGTTCAGCTTTTTGTTCGCTGGTTAAATAAGCCATGGCGTTTTTTTTTTTTTGGCTGGAAGACTGAACGGCGTGTGCTGTCAATCTGAATTAAAATTAGTTAATAAAATCGTTTTATTGTTATAAAACAGTTGACACAAAAAACGTTTGTTTTGATTGACAAAGATAAATAACTAAAACGAGGCTAATAAGTAAACATTTAATGTTTTTATTAATTTACATAGAGAGCAGAGCTTTATCTTTTATTTTACGGGGAAAAAAAGTTTTAAACTAGAAAACACTTTTTTGTACCTAAACGAGGCTTAAAGAAGTTAATGTATTTTCGTACGCTGTGCGTTTCATTGTAAGGGTCGCCGAAACGACCCTTTTTTAACTTGCTATTATGAGGAGCTAACAATCAAAACATGTCACATAGAAATAAAACTGAGATTTTAAAAAATGAGTAAATTTTAAAAAATGTTAATGAATTATAAAAAAGTTAAAAGACTGAATAAAATTGTAATGCTCTCTAAAATAAATCGAACCTGTATTTTTTTATTTTTTTGATTGAAATTTTTTTTTGATTTGACAAAATACATTATGCTTGAACCATATGAGCAATGTTTCGAATTGAAAACAAGATACATCTTCAGATTTAAAGTATGCTTTGTTCGTATTTCATAAAAGACTTTTAAATCTTAGAATATTTGATGTTATTAGTAAAGTTTAAACTAAAAAATTTTATTGAAAGTTAAGTTGTCTGGTCTTAATGTGTACAGTTGTCTTTATTCTTTACAAATTTCTGTGTATTCTTCTCTTTCAATAATCGTAAGCTTATAATTTCAACATTTTTTCTGCCTTACTCAAATCTCTGCTGTCTGCTGTCTTACTTAAAACTCTGCTGTCTGCTGCCTTACTTAAGTAATGCCCACAAGTTAAATTATGAATTTCTGCAAATTTCTTCGAATTTGCATACAATTTTAAATCATTTTTTTGTTTTATTTTTTTTACAATTCACAAAAATAACATAAAATGATTAAAAATTTTATGGATCACATTCCTCCTTTTGTGTCTGTTCAGAGTTGTCAATCCTAAAACTTTTAAACACTCTTTATAACTTAACCACCGAATTAGTTTAACCAATTTTGGTAGCTCGATGCTGCATTTTTTAACTACTTTACGGTCACTTTTTAAGTATGGGGACCAAACTAGGGCTGAAAACTCTAGAAGAGGACGGATAAAAGTCACAAAAAGTAATTTTAGTATTTGCCAATCCAATACATGTTGGTACAAAACATATTAAGTGATTTCCTCAACAAATAATTCAAGTAGAATGTTTGATCGTGTGAAGAAAGCTTTTGCCATATGGCAAAAGTTTTCTTCACACTCTTTTACAAAAATCTTTTGTACTTTCTAATTCAGGTAATTTTGTACCATTAATATAGAAAGGATTCTTTTGTGTGTTTACTCCATAGTGCATTATCACACATTTTTGGACACTAAATCTTAAAACCTTCTCTTCTTTTCATTTAAATGCTGCGTTTAAATCTTTTTGTAGACTTGACGTATTTTTCTTTGAAATTACTTTTGATAGAATCTTGGTATTATCAGCAAATAACTTACATATATTGACTAACTTATCTGGTAGATCATTAATATATAGATAAAGGGGTCAAATAGCAAAACCCTAGGACACGCCACCAAAGATTTCCAGCCATTCAGAAACAGTTACACCAAGAATAATTTTTTGTCTTCAATTTTTTTAAAAATTTCTATCCATTTTAAAACTAAACCCTGAATACCATATGCATTCAATTTAGCTATGAGTCTCTTGTGCGGAGCAGTGTCAAAAGCTTTTGCAAAGTCTAGCACTGTTCTGAAATTTGACCGCCAGATTAAACTTCGTGTCAATTTAAAAACTTTGATTAATATGAATACTAATACCATATATTACTAATAAAAAATAAAGTTTGAAATTAAAATCACGTGCTATGTTATTCAACTTTTTAAAAAATAAATTATAAACTTTTATTTTTATTTTTAAAAGTCAGTGAATGCTTTGACAAATCCATAAGAACAACAAAATTAAAATCTAAAATAAAAATTAGTTTTAAAAATGGCTTAAAGGTTTCGTATTTCAGAAAAAGTATATCAGAAAAAAGTTGAGCAAGAATTCTTTGGTTATTAAAAATATCCAAGGTATCTTTATTGTAAAAAAGTTTCATTTGATTAGTTTTATGTTTTAAATGTTAATTTGAATGCAAGTGATAAAAATTCAAAAGTTTATAATAAAGATGTTAATTTTGTAAAAGTCTTATAAAAACTTTTTAATAAGGCAAAAATATTTCAGACTCTATGTGTGTGTATATATATATATATATATATATATATATATATATATATATATATATATATATATATATATATATATATATATATATATATATATATATATATATATATATATATATATATATATATATATATATATATATATATATATATATATATATATATAAATCAATCAATCAATCAATATATTTTCTGAAATATTTGGTATTACATTTCAAGGTTGCTTACAAATAGTATAAACTACTAATATTAAGTAAACACCTAATAACAATAAATTAAATAGTTATTGTAATAATAATAATAAAAATATTTAAAATAATGATAAATAATAGTAATAATAATAATAACATTATTATTGACTAAAATGACTAAAAAGAAAAAAAAAGGTCCTCTAAAATTTTTGGGGGCCACTAAATTTGCCCCCCCCCCCCGCATGATCCGGCACTGATCATAACTAAAATATATTGCAAATAATAAATAAATAAAAATGTAAACAAAAACTAATTAAATAAAATGTAAACAGAAAAACACTTAAAAAATCAAAACAAATTAAAAGATACAACAAACTTTAAGAACAAAACAAAAAAATTACGTTAAATATTTTTGACAACAAAAAAAAACAGTAAAAAAACAACAACATAAAATAAAAACTAAAAATAACAACAAATAAAGAAGAAAAATATATAATATCACATGGTAGAATAAAACATATATGATAAATAGCTAAAATGAAAATAAAAACAAATAATATATAACTGTATAAAAAATTATATATCACTATTTAAAAATAATTAATAACTAAAAAATAAAACAATAAATGACTAACAAAATATATAAAGTAAAACTTAATACGCTAAAAACTAAAGAAAAAACATTACTACAAGACCGCATAACAGCAAAACTAAAAAATAAATCGTAAATAAAGAATCCTAAGAAATATATGAAATAAACCTAAAGAAATATATGAAAAAATAAAAAAATCTTGATTTGCCAATCTTTTTTCGATGTATAGAAATAGTTATTATTTTCTTTCTTTTCCATTCATTTTTATTTCATTCATTAGTTGTTGTTTTTTTTTAACTTCTATTTTCATTACTTTTTTATTTATTTCCTTTCAAATATTTCTTTTTCTTTTCTTCTTTTAAAACATTTATTCATTCTTCTTTTTTAGTTGATTTTATTTTTCGTTTAATTTATAAATGTTTACATTTTTCTTTTTTCCTCTTTTAAAAAAGTTATTATCATCCGTTAGAAAAAAGCGTGCACCATTTGCAAAGTCATTGCAAAGATGATGATTGATTGATTGATTATTTAAATTCATTTAAATAAAAACCGTTATAAAAATACAAATTTGCGTTGCAACGAGATCAAACGTCAGTATCACGTCAAACGGGAAGAGAGGTATATAACAGAATAGAGCATAACTCTACAAATATATATATTCAGGAAAAATCATTCTTCATAATGAACCTACTGATGGAATAAATTTTTTGAATGGTTCTTCCTGATAAACCTACTGATGGAGAAACAAGTTGTTGAAGAAAAAAAATTAGATTAGTATTTTTAATAATTTATTATTGCTTTGTTCTCTAAAAACAATCTATTTGTAGAATACACTAACATATTTTACATGTATATATATATATATATATATATATATATATATATATATATATATATATATATATATATATATATATATATATATATATATATATATATATATATATATATATATATATATATATATATATATATAGTAACTTTAAATTATCTAAAATCGCTGTTTGATAAAATACGGTGATAATTCTATTACAAACTAATAAACAAAATCGTGGAATAATTTACCTTTTTCATTTTTAATCACTCAACTTTATTTCACAATTTAAAAATCATCTTTTTGACTATTTGTTGGAAAAATACTGTATGTAAATGTTAGGCTCATCATAGGTTTTTATTGCTATTGTTATTGTTGTTCTTATTGATTATTATTATTATTATTACAGTTACATAAATCGCAAATTTTAAATTAAAGCCACGTTTTTTTGCAAAGATTTTAGAATAAAAAAAGAATAAAAAGTTTAAAAGGTTTTCGACCTAGAGGTAATCTACTTTTATTCAGAGTGGTAGCCCTCTTATCAAATATAGATGATCAGATTAAACAGTTTATAAATCATTGGTGATAATGAGCACACCTTATTCAACTGACCAACTTGCAGCCCTAGCAGCCAACTAGCCTGGCTTAGGTCAAGGTAACCGTTCAGCTGCTTCTCAAAAACTTGATGCCATTTCAAAACTAATAGCCACAGTCAGCATCCTTTTCAACTGCGTATCTGCACTAGAAAAAGAAAATTTTATTCTAAAAGTGAATCTCTCTCAACAGCCAAAATTCCATCTCCAGGTTTAACCACAACTCTTAAATGGACAAGCGCAGTCAAACTATCAAGAAGGTTCAGAAGCCAATAAATCTGTTATCACAGCAGTCAAAGAAAATGCCAAAATTGTAGAAACAAAATCTGAAAGAGCTATTGCTGCCGGCCTTCCGAAATCCTCTGAAAGTAATCAGAGGAAAATTTCAGTTTAAAGTATGCTTAAAAAACTAAACTATAATGTCGCTTTTAAAGCTGTTGGGCTCAACTTATTCATCAAAAAATTGCAACAATACCACTAGTTTAACTACAATAGCAACTGAACCAAATGAGTGAACCATCATCAAGTTTGACTCAAATAAGCACTGCAATGATCTTTTATTTAACGCTTAACAACTCAACTCAATATATGAATTAAAATCTGTTTACAATCGTCGGAACCGTACACCTCTCGAACAAGAAATAATTAACAATTTCAACAAAAATGGTGCTAACCAAAATGCAGAATCATTGGCAAAAGATTTACTTAACAAACCTTTTCGATTTGTCATCTGCAG